TGTCATTAATCACATGTAAGTATAAAGAACCTTCTACTGTTTGGTTCCTCATTACTCACAGGATAAAGGCCAAACTCCTTGGCACTGCTTATCTACTCTGTCCCTTTTCCAGCTATTCTCCCAAATGTGCCATTCATGTGCAGGTGCTCCCTTCACAATCTCCATCCTGTCCCTGACCAAACACTAGCCCTCACATACCTCGGTCTCTGTGGTTGGTCAAAGCCCAAACCCAACCCCATGTGTCTCAGTGCCTGCAGGTGTAGACTTCACTTCCTTAAAATGCCATGCAGTTTCAGACCTGTGTCCTTGTGTATGTACCCATCTAGCTGGAATGCCCTTCCCTCTATTTCTCTGCTTCATTAAATTCATCCTGTAAGACTCTGTCTTAAATATTCTCGGACGCTTTCCTGATACCCTCACCCTTGGATGGGTCAGAAGCTCTTTGCATAATGCAGTGTATTCCCCCACTAGACTAATGAATGAACTGCTTCATCACTTTGTAGCTGAGTGACCTTGGACAAGCTCATTAATTTCGCTGAGCCCATTTCTTCATGTATATAATGTTAGTATTAATTTGCTATCACTGTAAAATAATGAACGTCAAAAATCACTTTGTAAACAGTGAAGCACTACGCAGGCATTAACAATTTTATCAAAAACCAAGAGAGCACACAGTATTCTTGGTGAATATACTTCAGTTTAATCTAAGGGTAAGATTCATCTCTCAGTTTCCGTCCCCTCTCCAAGGATACCCTGTATTTTTATCCAACTTTCTGACTCCACTAAGTCTTGGTACTTCTATATTCAGGAAAAAAAAAAATGATGATGTTTAAGTCATTTGAAGGAAACACCGAGCGGGAAGCTCTGAAAGGGTAAGGATTTTCCTTTTCCCCATCTTTCTTAATGCCTTCACAAGAGTACCGTTATGGACATACAAATACTCTGAATATGAAAGAACTGAATGAATATAAACATACCCTGTCTTTAGTGAGCTTATAATCTAAAAAAGTGAATGATGTAACAGATCTCACTGAATCTGACCTTATAAAAATGGTAATGAATGCCTTTAGTATCATCTTAATGTGCAGTAAGAAATTAAATTTCCTGCTATTATTTTATTTGGTGATTTGACACACGTTGGAATTGCTATCTTAGTAAGTCATGCTTAACATATGAATGTTTTAACATTATCAGAATCACTGATTGCAATTCAATACCTAGTTATTGAATATGTATTGCACTAGGCCCTATCAGAGTACAAAGGTAAAGGTGATGGGCTCTGCCAATGGTAAGGTGCTAAACATACAGAAAGGAAGCTGTCATCAATCCATCTAATTAATAGAGGGCAGAGTGCTGTATGGAGGATTTAAGGGTTGTGACAATCATTGAAGACACCTGAGTTAGGGCACTGGGCCCATGAAAATTAGAAGTGTATATTACATATAATACTGGTGGTCAATAACTTCTGTGACTATTGAATATCTACTATATATTACATATATAGTATTTGCTGCATGCACTGGCAGATATTTATGGTCACCTTCTTCCTATTCAACTATAAACCCATCTGTGTTATTGTCTAATAAATACTGTTAACACTCGTATCACACGTAAGTACCAACCATAGTTCCAAGCCCTTGACGTATATTTTCTAATTTACTTTCACAACAATCCCATGAGGTAGGTACAATTTCTCCCCTTTTACAGATGAGTCAGACGGGGCACAGAAATAGTAATTTTTCAAGGTTAAGATGCAAAGACGAAAATATGTAAATGAGGACCTAAGAGACAGAATCCAGTATTCCATCGAGGGAGCGGAGCCACTTGCCAGAGCTGCTTCACGCAGTGCTTTCCACCTCTCCGAACACACCCAGTGGGAACCACCTATCTCCTTCCCCGACAGGGATTCTTTTTCTTTTCCTGAATCCATAACTAAGCTGTTGATTCTCGAGCAGATCCTCTCAAACCTTCCTACTCCAGAAAACGTGCCGCTATTTAAATCATAGGCTGTTCAGGGTAAATGAGACCGAACCAGATCCCCAGGTGGACAAAGCTGGTAGGATCACGAAATTAAACCTCGGGCTGCGGATCCGTTCCTGGATCACTTCCAGGGGATGGCAGCAGCACCCGGCTCACCCAGGAGGCGCTACCCACTAAGGTATCCAGTCCTCCTGACCCCAGGCAGCTTGGGTTTTGCCATCTGCTCGTTTACCCTTCACCTGCCGACGCTCCCTGCGCAATCTCCATCCTGCCCCGGACAAACGCCAGGCCTCACGCGCCTCCCTCTTCGCGGCGACCAGTCCCAAACCCACACCGGTGCACATTGGCCCATGCAGGGGCAGCCCGTCCCGCCCTAACCCCAGCCCGCTACTCACGGTTCCAATACACCGGGTAGCACTCTCCTTGGGTCACATCCACCTCGTAGAGGCCACCCCGCACGCACACAGGCTCGATGTTCACCAGTTCCACCATCTCGGGCTCGTGCCCCGTCGTACTCTGGCAGAAGCCACAGGCGCGGTCCTCATCGTCATCTTCTCCGGAACTGGAGGCTGGGCCCGTGGGAGAGCACACATGGTCGCCGTCCCGGTCCTCGCCCTGGCGCCGGGCACCCGTGGCCTGCAGCAGGGTCCGGAAAGCGAGCTCGATGCGGAGCGAGTCGTAGCCGATGAAGGGCTTCCAGGTCTTCTTGTCCTCCTTGTAAAACCAGCGTACCTCCTCCGGGCCCAGCTCCGTCACTACCTCATAGCGGTGCCGGGTCGCCGGGCCGCCAAGCCGGGTACGTTTCCTTTCCCCGGGGACCCCTCCTGTCGCCCCGCCGCCCCCCGAGTTCGTCG